GTCGGCACCGCATCGGCGAGCTGCCCGAGCAGATTGGGGACCTGCGGGCGCTAGTGGATCTGGACCTGGGATCCAACCGCCTCTCAGCCCTGCCCGCCTCCATTGGTTCCCTCACCCGTCTGCGCTTCCTCAACGCCATGAGCAACCAGCTGACCGCGCTTCCGCCCGGCATCGGCGGCTGCACCGCGCTGCACCGCTGCGGGCTGAAGAACAACCAGCTGACGGCGCTGCCGCCCAGCATCGGCCAGCTGGCCTCGCTGGTTGAGCTCTACCTGACGGGTAGGCGGCAGGGGAGGGAGGAAAGAGGCGCAGGAGAGGGAGAAGGGCAGAGAGGCAGATTGAAATCCAGCAGGAAGAGGGTGGAGGGAGGGTGGGCTGCCTGCCTGCCGCGGCCCTGGACCCACGACGGCCTCATGTGGCGCAACCCAAACTGCGCCGCACCTGCGCCCTGCCCCAACTGCTGCAGACAATCTGCTGGAGGAGCTGCCAGCAGAGATGGGCAACCTGTCCAATCTGGTGAAGCTGCAGGTGCGGCGGCAGCCCGGGAGTTAGTCGAGAAGGCGGCCGGCGCCTCCCAGCCTGCTTCCGCTGCGGGGCTGGCTAGGGGCTCAGGGGCAGGCGGCCGGGCTCCTGTGCCGGATCGTGGAGAGCTGTTTGCTTGCCCTCTCTGGTCGCTGACTGGCCCCTGCCCCTGCCTGCCCGCCTGCCACGCCAGGCGTCCTTCAACCGCCTCAAGTCGCTGCCCGCGGAGCTGGGGCACCTGCCCAGCCTGGAGATGCTGCGCGTGGCCTCCTGCGCGATTGCAGAGGTGCCCACCGCGCTGCGGGACGCGCCCAAGCTGGCGTGGATGAGGTGCGCGGCCGGAGTGGAGCGGCAGGCAGGAGGTGGTGCGGAGCGCATGCGTGGTGGCGGTGCTTGTGGGATGGGGTGGGGTCGGCACGCGCTAGAGGGTGGGTGGGTGGGTATCCACGAGGCACCCTGGCTGTACGGCGCATACAAGTCACCCCACCCAGGCACACGTGGCGCCAGGCGCCGTCGCAATCCCGCTGCATCCATGCACCTCACCGCGCCGCTGCCCGCCCGACGACATGCTCCGCAGCCTGGCCAGCAACCCGGCGTGCCGCAGCGTGTCGCCCCGCAAGCCGCCGGTGTTGACGCTCAACGATCTGGAGATGGGGGTCAAGCTGGGTGGGTGGCGCCGGCGCTGCGCCTGCTGGGGCCTGCTGTGCTCTCTGGCTCCCGCTCTCGTCCCTCATGGGAGGGTGCAGCTGGCATGCTGCGCTGGGCTGGCCTGGCCTTTGCCGTGCTGCCAGTGCCGCTGCGGCCTCTCCGTCCCGGCCCCAGCCATACACTTCACCCATGCCAGCAAGCGTGCCTGCCCGCGGCAACCGCCCCTGCAGGCGACGGCGCGTCGGGGGAGGTGTTTGCTGCCACCTGGATGGGACGCAGAGTGGCGGTCAAGATCTTTGTCAAGGACCGCTCCCCCGACGGCCACAGCCGAGACGAGATGGCCATCTCTTTTTCTGGTGGGCGCGGCGGGTGGACAGGGCGCCAGGCTGTGTGGTGTGGTGCGGTGGGTGGTGTGGTGCGGTGGGTGGGTGGGGCGGTGGGAGGCCGAGCGGCGGCGCGGCGCGGCGCATGGGCTCCCTGCCCTCCCGGCTCCGCCCTCAGCTGGCCGGCCGCCAGCAGCGGCACCTCGCCGGCGTCCCGAGGCTGCGCCCATCCAGCCCCCGGCCCCCTACCTCTTGTGCGACCCCGCCGCCTGCCCGCCGCCTGCCCGCGCGCACAGTGTCGGAGCGGCACCTGGTGCGCGTGGTGGCACAGCTGCAGTCCCCGCTGGGCCTGGTGATGGAGTATGCCGAGGGGCAGCCAATTGCGGAGAAGCCCAACCTGCAGTCCCTGCTGCGCTGCCGCTGGGCGCCCGGCCTCGCCCTGCAGCTGCCCTGGGTGCTCAGGGTGGCGGCCGGGGTGGCGGCCGCGCTGGAGCACATGCATTACAAGTGAGCCGGCGGCGGTGTGGTGGGCAGGGCATGTGTGTGCGCGTGTGTGCGAGGGATTGCGTGCGTCTCATGAGTGGTTGGTTGGTATGCATGTGCGTGATGGCGGCGCTGCTGGCGCACCCAGTGCTGGCGCGCCCAGTGCCTGGCGGCCTTGGTGCCGTGCCCGGCCTGCTCCTGCGTGCCCTCCCGCTCGCCGCTCCGTCTTCCTTGAACACCCTGCCCCTGCCGCCTGCCTGCAACCCCCCGCCCCGAACCCTCTCCTGTTCATGCTTTCCTGGCCCTGCCACACCGCACCGCAGGGGCATCTGCCACGGCGACGTGTATGCGCACAACGTGATGGCAGATGAGGCGGGGCACGCCACCCTGTGCGACTATGGTGGGACGCCGCCCGGCATACTTGTCGGCATGGCAACAGCGCTTTGCTCAAGAGCTTGCCCTTAGCTGCCCCTTGCTGCGTGGGACGCCTCCCTCCGCTCCCTCCCTGGCCCGCATCGCCCCCTGGCTGGCCTGGCTTCACCCGCCCTGTCTTGCCCGCACGACCGTGCCCCCTCCCCCGCAGGCGCCTCGTTCCCCTACCACAAGGGTGGCCCCGTACCGTACGAGGCGCAGGAGGTGCGCGCCTTTGGCCTGATGCTGGCAGACATGGTGCAGCGCCTGGACATCGGCTTCCAGGGTGAGCCACTGGTGGTGGTGTGTGGTGTGACGGCGGTGGTGGCGGTGTGACGGCGGTGGTGGTGGTGTGTGATGGGTGTGTGTGATGGGTGTGTGTGATGGGTGTGTGGGATGGGTGTGTTGTGACAGTGGTGGTGGTGGTGGTGGTGGTGTGTGTGGAGGGGGATGTGACTGCCTGTCAGGCCTGCCCAGGCCAGACCGTCAGATGAGCGCCAACCCGCGCATGCGGCCCCGCCCTCGCGTGGCTCCACCCTCCCCGTCCCACCCTCCCGCGCCGTGGCCTGCAGGCATGGAGCAGGCGCTGGAGGCGCAGCGCGAGCTGCTGTCGCTGGTGCAGCAGTGCACGGGCGCGCCGCCCATCCGCCGCCCCACCTTTGGCGCCGTGGGCCGCCGCCTGCGCAGCATTCAGAAGCGGGTGGCGAGGGCGGGCCTGGCCACTGTGACGCCCCGCGGGTGAGCCCAGCTGCCCTGCCCTGCCCGCCTGCCTGCACGCCCCACTGTCGGCCCCGCAGCCCCCGCCCAGGCTTGGCCGGCGTTCACCGATGCACGGCCGCCCGCGCATGTCCCTGGCTGTGTGTTGCTGCAGCGACGCCGGCCTCTTCACGCCGCGCACCTGCGTAACGGAGATGCCGTCGCCGCGCAGCCCACTCAGGCTCTAGCCCCTCTCTCTTGGCACACACGCCCAGGGGAGAGGCTTGGCCACCGCTGCCATCGTTTACACACAAACGAAAGGGCTCCCTTGAGAGGGAACCCTCGGTTGCTAACCGACACTGCACTCATTGCTTCTCAACACCTCGATGCACGATGAATGGGTGGGCGCTATTTGTGCTCACCCAGCTTGCCCCCTGCAACCACCACACTCCCTTTGATGCACCATGTATTTTTGCCCGCGTGGCGGCCTGCTGTACACGGTTACATAATGAGCAACCTTGTCTTGGAAAGAATAAGCCACTGCGTCCGTAAGCCACACGGGAGGACAAACCGTTTCAACGACGCTCAGCGGAAGCAGCAAGTTGCTGGTGCAGTCCTAGGGGGAAAGAGGAGTGAAAGCAGTACAGGGGCCAGGAGCAAGGGGGTGGAGACGCAAGCTTGGGAGGTGAGACGCGACTGTCAACAGGCGGCCGGCCGGTGGCGGGGGCCTGCCCGCGGGCATGGCGGCCCAGCTGGGCCGGGGTGGCGCCCAGTGGGGGGCGCTGCCGCCGTCGTAGCGCCGCGCTCACTTGTCGATCTGGGCCGCAATGAGGTCAGCCGCCTCCTGCACGGTGGAGATCTTCTCGGCGCCCTCCTCGTCCAGCTGGATGTCAAACTTCTCCTCCCTGCAGGCACGCGGGGCGGGAGAGGAGCCAGCCAGGCAGCGGCACGGGGGTGAGCGACGGCCCACAGCACGTGCACGGCCGGCTGCCCGCCTGGCCTGCCTCCTGCTCCACGCCCCCCGGCAGCGGCTGAGCGGCTCCCCGCTGCCGACGCGGCAGCTCGGGTGCGGCCGGGGCGGGTGCCGCAGCATGAGCCAGGGCTGGCCGCTGGCCGGCTGCCTCGCGGCAGCATCAGGCCGGGGTGGGCGGCGACACGACACAGCAGGCACAGCAGGGGGCGCTCACAGGGCCATCATGATCTCCACAGTGTCCAGGGAGTCGGCACCCAGGTCCACAAACTTGGAGTCGGCAGCCACCTGCTCAGCGGGAAGAGGGGCAGGGACAGAGCCACTGGTCGGTCGGTGGCACGGGGACTGGCAGCACTGTTTGCCCTGGGCCGAACACGGGGCCTCCTCCGGGGCAGCCGCGTGCGCTTCTGGGCACCAGGCTGCCTGGCCGGCCATCGGGGCGCTGCGCGGGACGTTTGGGCTACGTCCAGGCTTTGGGTTCATGCCCGTGGATTCTGGCGAGGTTGGTGGTGCCCCTTGGCTCGCAAGCCCCGTGCTGCCTCCGCAGCTGGCCGTTGCTCCAACCATCGCCCGCAGCGCCGCAGCTGCTGGCACTCATTGCTGGCAGGACAGGCTGGTGCTGGCCGGCAGGAGCAGCGCGGCAACAGAGGGAGCAGAGGGAGGGAGCAGCCCCTTGGGCGGCGGTGTTGCCGCGCGCACCTTGTCGAGGTCGGTGCCCAGCTGCTCTGCGATGATGCCGCGCACATCGGACAGCACCTGGGCCTTGTCCTGCAGGCGGTGGTGGCGGGGGAGGGGCCAATGAGCCGGCGGGGAGAGCAGGTGATAGGAGCAGGCGATGCAGCCGCAGTGCAAGAAACTCACAGCCGCGGCGTGCACGATCATGCGCTGAGCGCGCATGGCGCGAGGGGCCTTGGCCTGCGGGCCAGCAGAGGCAAGGGGGGGTCAGCACAGGCAGACGCTGATGCCAGTTTGCGGGGGGCACGCAGGGGCTGCCACAGCTCCCCAGCGACCCATTCTGCATCCATCCAGACCCCAGGCACCGCCATCGGCGCCACTGGGAGGAGAATGGTGGAGCTGGTCACCTTCACGGCCAGGCGGCACTGCACGCGGGCGTTGGTAGCGGTGAGGGCCTGCATGATTGAGCCGTGCGAGACACCGGGATGGCAATGTGGCAGGAACGAGGGGCGATGCGGGTCCCCCGACACTGCTCCTTCGCGCCAGGCAAGCCACGGCCTGGGTCGGGTGGAGCGGATTGGTTAATCGACACAGGCGGCCCTCTTGGTGCGTGCATCGGTGATCACGGCCTTGTTGTAGCAGCCTGGGGCGGCGACGGGACTCCCCACCCCCTGCTGCCCGCATGTGGTTGCCCAGCCTCAACAGCCCAGCCCCCTCCCCCCAGGATAGCTTTGTTTCCTTACAGAGGGTGGTTGAGTTGGGGAGACATGAGTGAAGCTGAAAAGGGCACCCAGGGCGCTCACCTGCTGCATAGGCAGCCGCCTGCGCGGCCTCCTGATCGTACCCATCAAAGTTGCCCTGCGGGGGTGGCTTGGGTGCCTGCGGGCGCACCGGCTGCGGCTGGCCAGGTGGCGGCGGGTACGCTG